TTCTCTCCCAGATCTCGGGCCGGTGGGATTGAGTGTTCTCTGCGAGGGTCCTCGGCAGTTCTGCCCTTGTGGCTTTGGGGTTTCTTTTCCAGCATGGGAACTTCCGTCGCGAAGGGCTTTGACGCGGCTCCCTCACAAGCCTCGTTTGTGCTGCAGAAGGGAAGGCAGGAGGAAGTCCTTGAGTTACGGGTACGAGTGGTCCTCTTCGGCGGGACAGAGAAAGAAACGGGGGAAGGATATTTGTTGTTGGTCTGCTAGTTTACGTGGCTGAAAAAGAGGTTAAAGTTGAATTATGGAACATTTTGTGCCAAGAGGAAGGCCGGGGCTGGGCACAGCAGGTGAAGGAAGTTTATAAGTTTGGTTTATAAGTTTAATTTTATTTATAGGCCGCCCAATCCCGAAGGACTCCGGGCGGCTTACGGAAGGGAAGAAGAAGAAAATAAAAGAAAGTAAAAATAAAATAAGACAAGGAAATCTAGCGGGTGAAATCCTGAGTTCAGCTGGGCCTCCTTCGCTGAATAACCATTCAAAGTTACAACAGACTCCCTCCCAAGAAGTTACTTACTCCACCGTTTGGAAGGCAAAGGTGCAGCAGCCGCTCACAGCGACGCAGGCGGAATAACAGAACAGCAGGACAGAGCGAATAAGAGAGTCGGAAGGGACCCTGGAGGTCTTCTAGTCTGCTTAAGCAGGAAACACTCTACCATATGGCCGCCCGGTCTTTTCTTTAAAACCTCCAATGTTGGAGCATCCACAACTTCTGGTGGCAAGCAGTTCCACTGGTAATTGTCCTCACTGTTAGGAAATTCCTTCCTGGTTCCCGGTTGCTTCTCTCCTTGATTAGTTCCCACCCGTGGCTTCTCCTCCTGCCTTCGGGCGCCTTGGAGAACAGGTTGAGCCCCTCTTCTTCGGAGCAGCCCCGGCAATCCTGGGGGAGGGCTCTCGTGTCCCCTCTGGCTGCAACCGTTGTGTCAGTGTGGGGAAATGGTCATAAGAGCCAAGGTGGCGCAGTGGTTAAATGCAGCACTGCAGGCTACTGCTAGATCAGCAGGTCAGCGGTTCAAATCTCACCGNGCTGGTCTTGTTGTATTTGGGTCTTTTCCCGTGTAAGATTGAGATTGTCTTGCAGCGTTTCAGCGAGGTCTCACTCGAGATAGTCCTCAACTGAGCCCAGCATTCCCCTTGCTGAGTAGTTGTCCCATTGTACGGCCTTTCTTGCCACGGTTGTTAAATGAATCACTGCAGTTGTTAAGTTAGGAACACAGTCATTAAGTGAATCTGGCCTCCACATTGACTGCTTGTGGCGGACTGTGTGTGCGTGTATGTGTGTGTATGTGTATCTATCTATCTTGATTTGTCCCAGGCAAGAAAGGGCAGCTGCTTCTGCTTGGTTCAGCAGTTGGGATCTCTGGGGCTGCAGCCTGGGGGCTGTGGAACCTCCTGTCTCCCCAGAGCAGTTCCCAGTTTAGCCCTTCCCGGCCATCTGAGATCCAGGTTATTTGCTCATCCCCTGCACTGTCCTTCTGGGCAACGAATTGAAACGTCTCCTCTGCCCGCTGACGTTTGCTCTGCTCTCTGCGGCTTCATTGGGAAGCCGGCTGCAGCCCCTCAAAAGGTTCCTTTCTGCAGGCAGGAAAGCTACTTCATCAGCCTGGCCTTGGCGTGTGTCTGCCAACGGGTCCCTTGTTCCAAGGCTGGCATTGATTGCCATCTGTTCGGCTGCCCTGCTATCCCAGCGGCGTTGTGGACTGAGGAGTGGGAGGCTGGGATCCAATAAGGATGGTCTTGTGCAAGGCCCTGGGAGCCTGGAAAGAGGGCAGAGAAGGGCAACAGGGGGGATAAAAGTCCTGGAGGAAGAGTTGCTGGTTGTCTGGTCTAATGAAGAGAAGGACTAGGGGTGGGCAGGGGGGCAGCTTTCCAATATCCGCCCCAAAGAAGAGGGGCTCAACCTCTTCTCCAGAACCCCTGAGAAGCCCATCAAGGAGAGAAGCCACCTGGAACTCAGGAGGGATTTCCTGACTGTGAGGACAATTAACCAGTGGAACAGCTTCCCTCCAGAGGTTGTGGGGGCTCCATCACTGGAGATCGCCCTTAAGAAGAGGCTGCACAGCCATTGGTCCAAAATGACGCAGGGTCTCCTGCTTGAGAAGGGGGTTGGGCTAGAAGGCCTCCGGGGTCCCTTCCGACTCTGGCATTCTCTTCATTCTCTTTTCTCTGGGTACCACGGACAGTTCCCAGCCATCCGCTTCAAGGTCAGGATTCAAAGGCAGGAATCACAGAGTCCCCGACTTGCGACCACAATTGGGCCCCAAATTTCTGCTAGTAAGTGAGAAGATTTGTTAAGTGAGTTTTGCCTTATTTTATCACCTTCCCTGCTACAGTCGTGATGTGAATCTCTGCCGTTGTTAAGTCAGTAACACGGTTGTTAAGTGAATCCGGCTTCCCCGTTGACTTCGCTGGCCAGGAGCCTCTCCAAAGGGGATCAACCGTCAGAAGTCCATGCCAGTTGCCAAGCCTCCGAACTTTGATCAGGGGATGTTCTAATGGCTGCGAGCGTGGAAGACGGTCATAAATCCCCTTTTTTCAGTGATGCTGTAACTTTGAAGGGTCACTAAATGAACCGTTGTAAGCCAAGGATTTCTTGCTTCTTCAGCCTCCAGGGAGCAGGGCAGGGAGTAGTGCAGCTTGCCTGTTTCGCATCTGTGGAGTTCAGGGCCTCTGAAGGTCCTTTCCGGCCTGTGGCCCATTTCGTGTCCCTTCCCCCCCCCCTCCCTCCAACGGCCTCTGATCCTGGAGGTTTTCCCAGACAAGCCCTCAAACCTTTCTCGGCAAGTTTTCCACCAGCGGTTTGCCATTGCCTCCTTCCTAGGATTAGCAATAGCAATAGCAGTTAGACTTATATACCGCTTCATAGGGCTCTCAGCCCTCTCTAAGCGGTTTACAGAGTCAGCAT